GAAAGCATCATACAAGCAATCATACAGAGTTACAGATGATTTGTGATATATCACTTATTACATTATATATACTTTAACGAGGATCGAAAATGAGCTAATTTATATCACACATGCCTTCATGCATTGGCTTTAAGACACTTCGTATGTCTGGATAATATATTATTTTATTAATATAATATTCAGAATCTGGGTCAAGATCTGATCTGAAAAATTCAATGCACAAACTCACAATTATTATTTAAGTTTATGAAATTCATGGTAATATCTTTCCTAAAAATATAATATAAGTATTTTAATAGTGAATCACATATAAATTTCATTTTTGATGATTTAATCTTATATGTCTTATATTCTAAAATTCTGATGAAGTATACAAAATTATACTTTTTATGAATACTATAATATTTGGGATTCTGTAGTCATTTTAACATGTTAAGCCAATATGTATCTCTAACAACTATATAGCCTTGCTGATATAATAATTTCTTAATAAGTATGAATATTACAAAAGATAATCGTTGCTATAATTAGGCTTTCTTCTTATATATCCAACCATTTTTCACTAAAAAGCAATATTCCTCATACCAAATTTGTCCTGAAGGATTATATCCTTCATTTTTTATACCTAAAACTTTATATTATCAGAAATACTATCATTTTCACTATCTTCTAAACTTGGTTTACCAAGATTTGAGTTTTTTCTTATAATTCCTATAAGCTTGCTGAATAACTGTTGCATAAAAATTCTCAAACTAATAGTTATATTGTCTCGCAATTAAGAATCCCCAAGATTGCTTTATAGATCTTCCTCAAAAAATACTTTATTAAAATAGATTAAAAGATCTAACTTAAAATAAGCAAATCATGCATATTGAGGGGAGACAAAAATATTGCACAGTTTTATTTTAGCAATAAAAATTTTTTTTATTAGGATAGTAGATCATTTTTTTTTATATTCATAAATAATACATCAATATTTAGTATATTCTCCTTTAGTATTGATCACTGCCTGAATTTTATTTAGCATTTATTACACCAAATCATGATACACTTTTTGTGATATTACTTCCCAAACCTCTTTTATTACCTTTTCAAGTTCACGAATATTTAATGGCTGAGGATTATGTTTTTGAATTTTCATCTCAACTACAACTCACAAGTTCTCAATTAGGTTGAGATTGGGACTTTAAGTAGGCCATAGAAGCACCTTTACATTTTGAGAATGCAGAAACTCTCATGTAACCTTTGATATGTAAACTGATGCATTGTCTTCCTGAAAAATGAATTTTTTTTGGTTTGTCAAGAAAATGCTTTAAATGTGAAAACTGTATAAGTAAAAAACATCTCTTTGTATACATTTCTAATTACTGAACCTTCAAATGGAATAACAGAATCTAATTTTAAAAAGGAAAAACATGCTCAAAACATTCTTTGAGGAGAATGTTTTACTGTTGATGCAATACAATCTTTATTAAATTTTTCTTCTGGCTTTCTTTACACTCTTCCCTATTTAGTTTTTCAAAACTGTGAAAATGTAGACTTATTTGTTCAAACTATCTTTTTCCAGTCTTCTACGATCCAATTTCTTCTTTCTATTGCCATACAAGTTATTTGTTTTTGCTGATTGCTGAGATGAGAGGTTTCTTTTGAGAAATATAAGAATGTACATTTTTCTTGTAAAATGCATGACAAATTGTTTTTATAGAGACTGGCTTATTAATTTTAGCAGAAAATATATTAGTAATTTCTATTAGATTTTTTTATATTAGTTCTTTATTTTTGAGAATCATTACTTTCAATCTTTGCCTTTTTTGGCTATTGATCAAGCAGGGTTGACCTGGTCATTTTTTAGAAGATGCTTCTAATTCATAAACTGCAAAATACCTTGTAATGATTGTTTGATAACATCCTATAGCTTTTGTTATCTCTGTATTATTGTGGCCTAATTTTTTGGCTGCAATAATGCCTTACTTTTGTATAGGAATTAATTCTTTAGCAAGACCTATCGCATGCGTAAAGTTAAAAATAGTAAAGATTTTAAACCCGATTTTTACAATCTTTAACATATTAAATTAAAATAATAAATAAATATTCTATTTAAAAAATATATAGCAAATATAATATAAAAATCACATAGCCAGTTACTTATTAACAATTTATTAAATTGGGTAAATTTTGACCTTGCAATATTTTTGTCCCCCCTCTGTAGTACCTTTGGCCAATTTCACTAGTCGATCATACATACAAAGCGTTACATGAGCAAAGTAAAAAATAAATTGATTGATTTATTGATAAATATACATGAATATAAAATATATCATTTTAATAAAGAATCTATGTTTCAAAAAATTTGACACACATATTTACAATTATTATTCAGATCTGAGAAATCTATATTAACAAACTTTTTCTTGGTAATTTAATATCTAGATTTAAAAAAGTCAATTTTTAGCGAATTACATAAATATGATTTATCTACTAATTTGCATTTATATCGTGCATATTCTGAACTTTTAACATAGTTTACATTCTCATTATTAAGGTGTTTATAATATTCAGGATTTGCTAGCTATTTTGATATATAAGACTAAATATCATATGTAATGAGTTTATAACCTTTTAGATATAATTCTATAAAGTAGCTATATGTGTTATATTATTTAATCATTTCTATAACTGGTCTCTCTTTTTTTTTTACCCAAATATTAGGATGATAATAATTATATTCCTTGTATCCTGTGACCCATTTGGCTAGATATTCTTTAATATATTTTTGAATAATATTTTTATTATATGCTTTTTTTAATGCAATTGGCATAATCATCAGTATGCAAATCATATTCTTCTTAATTCAAAGGATTTATTTTTCATTCACTAGTTGAAAGTATACCTAAATATTTCATTCTATCAGGAGTACTATCATTTTTCACTATATTCTAAACTTATTTTGCCTAAGTTTCAGGTCTTAACTTGAAAGCTCTCTAAGCCTGTTGGATTATTTTTGCACTATTAAATATATGATATGCAGTCTTTTTCCATAATTCATATTTATAGTCTATATTACATCTATAACCCAACTAGGAAAATCAATATACTGTATTTCTCTAAAAATAAGCAATCTCAAAATTGCATTGTACCTGAAAATAAGCAACCCACTGAAAATTGTAAATGTAATGTGTAAAATCAAATTACAATAATAAATAAATGCTATTTTAAATCCTATTTCAAAACTTTATTTATTAATAAATTATATACAGTTATATCTAGATTTACAAAAAATATATAATGAGAAAAAAAACATGATTTATTGCATAATTTACATTACCGCTATAACTGACATCATTGCTAATTATCATCACTATCGATATCTTTATCACTGACATTATTCTCATCTTCTTTATTAGTAATTTCTAAATTAGAATCTAAATAGGTCGAAATTCTACAAGTCTTAAAAGACTCAATGACAATTTCATCATCAATTGCTTCCCAAGAACGCACAATTCATGAACATACATCACTCAATTTAGCATGACAAAGATTTCTCATGGCAGTTGTACTAGCGCCACTACCTGCCATCCAGATATGCTATTCTTTACGAAGGTTATCTTTTAATGGCTTATTAATTGAAACATCAAGTGGTTGGCAAATATTAGTAAGACTACCTGAAATCACTGTCAGATCAATTCCACTCTCATATAACTTACTTTTTATTGATTCTCCTAAATGACCCTTGAATGAATCATAAACTAATATTGTTGGATCCTATTGAGTACTATTTTTTGACCTTATATTATTTAGATAATCCACATATTTTAACATTAGATCTGAATCCATACAGCCATTCTTTTGAAACTAAACTACAATTTCAGTAGGAACTTGCTCTCTGTGTGGCATTTATTTTCCTTTAAAGATACAGATCAGAGGCAATTTAGTACAATCTAAATCATTAATAGTTTCCCTTATTAGCTCTAATATTATAATTGCAATATTGTTATGAAAAAAATTGCATACCAAAATAACTTAAAAAGATAACTTACCTGCAGTATACGTCAAAATGACAGTAAACCTGTTCTTTTCATTACCAGTTGCATGAATATGTACAGTTTTTTCACCTTTTGGATTTATAGTAAAATTACCAGCCATGTTGAACCATACAGATATTTTATCCATGTCTAAAATATTTTTTAATTCATATGACTTTACTAACCTAAGATGATTGACAAATTGATAAAACTTATTCAATAAGTTTTGTATTTCACTTAGAAGTTTTTGGGATATTCTTGTGTGTCGTCACATTGACAGCTTGTATCTTCTCATAAATGCAATTAACCAGCGATGAGAAGTCTTGAAATTTTCCATTAAATTATTATCATAGAGTCCTATCATATCTGATTCTTTTAAAATTTCTAACATCTTATTATATAAAATTATATATGATACAGCTAACCTCTGTTTTCTTTGTTCAATAATCCAGTTATACAACCTGCTTTCAGCTTTAGAAAACAAAGGTTTTCATCTAGAACTAAGGCGCTTTTTCTTTCCATTTGTTTCATCTAATCAGCTTGAGCTTGCTTTGACCTAGTGTCCAACCATATTAATATCAATATTAAAATGCTCTGCAGCTCTAATATTGCCCCTTTTTTTTGTATATATAACAATATTTGTCTTCTGCTTTATAAAATAAGAATTTCATTTACGTTTAATAACTTGTTTAACCTTAGTTTTAACTTATTTTCTTTTAGGCATTTTGTGATAGCACAGTATAGTAAAATAGGTTTAAAACCAGTTTATATATTATGTAGCATTTATGTTGAGCTTTTATACATCAGATAATGATCTACAATCATGGGATTTGCATTAATCAAAGTTTAAAAAGTTTGATTTACCTCTTTTACCTCTTCATATTTTTAACTACCTGAAAGAAGTAATGCTATAGTAAAAATAGGTTGCTTATTTTCAGAGAAATACGGTATTTATTACATATCTCATAAATTTTATCTTTACTTAGTTTTGATGCTATTCTTCCTTCTTTTTTCTGAATAGAATTAGAATATGTAAAACACTTTTTGGCTGTTTTAGCAATGCATTCATTTAGATGTTTATTTGCACATTTAATGATATTTTTACAGATAAATACCAAGAAGTCACATACAGTGCAATAAATATTAAATGAGTGTCTTCTAGCTTTAAATTTCCATCTATATATACTCTTTTAATCATTTGAATAAATCCATTCTTGAAAAAGTATTTTGAGTTATATTCAAGAAGTTTCTTAATAAATAACGAATATGAGAACATCACATTTCTGATGTTTCACCACTATACTTATATTGCAGATTGTTTAATACCTATACAACTATAGGATTTAAACTAGAATAATTGGTTTTAACTATTTTACAGATGTAGGAAGTTTATAATCTAGCAATTTCTTCAATAATTATATTAGTAATTTGATAAAAACTAAGGTCAAGATGCTAGAGCCTTGAGCAAAAATAAATAACATTACAAATTAATATTTTAGAAAATTCTGTATTTATAAATATTTAGACATTCTAATTTATGATATGAATTTGCGATTGCAATTAGACTATATCATTTTTTGATCAAAATTTCTCGCATAAATTAGATACTTCAAATTTGGATATGATTCTACTATTAGCTTTAGAACTTTACCTGTACAGTCTATAATTCTTTCAAAATTTAAATGAATTATATTTGGGAATATGTGTACATTACCTTTGATTTTTTTATTTGAAAGTGAACGGTAGTGTGTTATTTTAAGATGAGTTAGTTTAGAGCTATAAACTGGTTTTCTTGCTCCTTCAGGTACTATTTTTAAAAATTTTTCTAATCAAAATTTATCATCTATTTCATTTTTCTTTAGTTTAATACGCTTCTATAGAATAGGGACATCACATCTATACCAAAGTTGGCAAACATATAGAGTGGGATAAAATGACATATCTACTGCTAAGAAATATAAAATATGTTCTAGTAATTCCTATATTAAAAATACTTGTATGCGTCATAAATAATATATGTTGTATCTTTAATTGAAAAAATAATATTAATGATGAGCACCTGACTTTAGATATTCATTTAGCTCTAGATAATCAAACATGCCTATAATCCTATCTTATTTTATATTTTTGATATTGATAAAGTTAGTTGTCCTATAATATATGTGATTATACTTAGCTAAATTGCATAATGATAAATACTGTGTAAGGTTAGTAGTAAACTTACCTGTAATCTTACGCTAATTATTTCTCAATTTTTTAGCTATACATAATAATTTATTTGATTCAATTACTCTATTATTCGAGTCCACTTGACCTTTTTTAGCTTATAGAATTTGTCTTTCTTTTCTCTATCTCTTTTATTATTTCTTTGGATGAACTGGACTCAGATGATTCTTTGATTTCTTCAGGTGTTATAGCATTATATAGATAATATATTTCTCATCTAATATTTTTAAGATTTTGATGTATCTTTGTTACATCACACTTTAATGCTATAATAGAGTCTTTGATTTCTTAAATAGAACATATCTTTTCTTTTTATAAATATGTGTAATATTTTTTAGATGTAATTTTTCTATTTCTGAAAAAAATATCTGAATATTTATCATACCTGAACAATAATTATAATATTATATTAACAGTATAACTTATCTTCTTGCTTACATATATGTGCTATTTACTAAACAACTATATTTCATTGCTTTAAGCATCTGCTTTATTTCTTCATCTGATCTTTTGCGATTCTTCTCCCTAGCTATTTGATAATAAAGCTTATATAATTCCTCTAAACTGCTATATAGATCATTATCTTCATACTTTTTGCGATAATTTTCTAGCCTTTTAGTATATGCTTCTTCTTTAGGGAACATTTTTACTGCAAATATCTTAATTGACCATTTTTGTATTGTTTCAACTATAATGATAAAAAAACTTTAATTAATGAAAATATATCTTTAAAATTTTTTTATTTGAAAAAATATTTGTTATAAAATATCTATGTTTTAACATGAAGTTTAGCTTTTATAACCCTTTTTTCTGCTTTTTCAGGAGATATTTTAGATGCTATCAGGCGTTTATATAGTCTAATTCACCAATATCTATAGGGAGAGTTCAAATTCCATTAAGTAAAATTCAGCGTTTGTTATCATATAGATTTAGCCTTATCTTATTTATTTTTTTTAGATATATTTGATGATCATAACTATAGAGGTCATATATATTATGCTGGATTAGTTTCTTGTTCCTAAAACATTCTAAGAACTTATCATGTCAAAGTTTCCTTTTGATAATGTATTTCTTAACACTCTTTACCTTTTAAATACTATGCTTCTTTTTAGAGTCTTCAGAATCTGGGTCATCAGAAATTTTAGGATCATGGTCTGCTGGAAGAACTGAATACATCTTTGATTTTAAACATACTGATTCACTTATTGGATTCTCTTTTGTCTCATCCTTCATTAGTAATAAATCTCCTGAATAGTTAAGATCAAAAATATCTGGTCTTTTTGCTTGATCTTTATATATGTCTTTAGTTTCTATTTACATTATAAGCGAGTCTATATCTGTATAAAGTAGACAGACTTTATCTCTATAACAAGGCTTTATTAACCATACTAAAAGTTAAATATTATAGCTTTACTAATGTCGAGAAATGCCTGCCTTACATTAGATTAATTTGTTTAAAGTTACTATACTTTTTAATATATAGATTGCTGTAATTCTCCCTTCAAATACTTTAAAGTCTACATATAATAGTGAACTTGCTAGATGTCTGATTTTTTTATCCTCTTCTATTCAGAGTAATTTTACTTCAAAGATTACATTGTTCTTTAGCTTATAATACATGACTCCAAATTTGTCTCTATTAGCTTTAGCAATTTTACGCTTATGAATATTTTTCTCAATATAGTCTTTCATCTATAGAGACTACCAAAATTTAAGAGCATTATGAATCTTTGTAACCTTCATCCTGAACTTTATATATGTCTGAAGAGCTTGATAGTAAACTACATAATTCTTCTTAGTAAAGAGGATTTAAACTAGCTTCTCTCTAGACACATATTTTCCATTTTTAACTTTTTTATCTTTTACTAATCTTTCATTATATAGACTAAGCCAGTTTTCTAGAACTATCTGCTTTCAGATACTAAGGGATAATCTGTATAAAAATCATGCAAGTGCACTAGGGTTTTTAGATCAACTTCTAGTGTATAACCTATTTCTGCATATGGCGCTATATTTTGGATATCTGGTATTTTCTCTGATACTACTTTACTTAAAATTTCTGTAGACATGTATTGGATCATTGCATCTGAATATAAAGCATTCATATCCTCATATATGATCTAGAAATTCAGCTTGCTGATCTTATAGTCTGAATATTGTAGATTATTTGCTTTAGCGTATTGATGACTTGTCATTGTTATGCTTTCACGAATATTATTTTTTACCGTTAGATATTCATCCATATTTGTCATGAGTTTGAGTTCTGCCCGCTACTTTTGTAAAGAGAATCATTAAACATTTCAGATGCTGAAATATAATGAGAGGGATTTAAGCTATCATCTTTCAAACACATAATAGTATAGTTCATGAAAATATCTGCAAGTAAAAATACATCTGTCTCAAGATAAAGTTTATGATATTTTCTAAAGTTCTTCATCTCAAATATTTGAAATACCTTTTAAGCATGTTCATAATCTTTTTTACTAATATTTTGCTGACTAAGAAGTGAATAGAAGTTCTTTTTAGATAGAAGGCTTATTCTGTCGAATTTTTCTTATGCATTTGTCCAGTCATATGGAGTAGATAGATTAAGTAGGCATCACTATATATATAGTGATGCCTACTTAATCTATCTACTTACGCGATAGTGATACCTACTTATAGATAATGATACCTACTTATAGATAGTAATACCTACTTGCTTATTTTTACATGTCTATGCCCCTTCTGATGATTTATTGCTATCTATCTGTTTTCACTGGTCTGTGACTGTTTGGTCGCTAAATAGGGCAGAGGTTTGTTTTTTCATTCTGGAGTTTTTTAACGATTGTATAAGAGTAAAGTTGGTTTTCCACTCTATAACTCTTTTGGTTGTCATATTTGAAGTTGAGGGTGTGGCCCATTTGCTGACCTTTTAAGTTGCTGAAATGGTGTAAAAAAAATCGTGTCAGGTGATGCAGTAAATTCAGGATTGATTTAGCTGACATTATATTATAATTTTGGCTGATCTTTTGGACACATAATTTGAGGTTTCAACTTGGCGTCATGGTAGCGACCTGGTAGTATCCTGGAGCTGTCATGGAACTGGCAGGGAACTAGAGTTGTTCTATTAGTTTGCCAGTTTTGAATCACCTATATCACGTCAGGTAGCGCAGTAAATTCAGGATTGATCACACAAGAAACAAATAGCTATACCACATTCCTGATAGATTGTGTTTCTATCAATAATTTTTGATTTACTACCATAGAAAGCATTTTCTTCAGAATAAACATGAAAACGTTTTTCTCTCTGATACATTCGTTTTATAAATGATCACAAATTGAAGCACTAAATTGAGAACTCCGTTAACAGTGTTAACGATTAGAGTGCTTCAGAAATTTTGAATGATATGTGAGAAATCCTTTTAGATGATCCAGAATCGGTGTATGCCTAATCAGATCTGATTATACTACTTTCATGCTCTTTTTCTTAACACTCGCCTTGGATTATATCACTTTCTGCATGTCTTGTTTCGCTATGTCTGAGAAAGGTATACAATTTGAAAGATCGAAGCTGATGCCATTTTATAACCCAACTATTGCCCATTAGTTGCCAGTATATTGGCGAGATGTTGTAAGCACTTCTGAAGTCTGATTATGGCTTAAACTGGGTCGAGGTAGTATGTATGCTATTTTTATATTTCTGAAGAAGGATACCCTGAATACACATACCCAGATGCATCTGGATGCTTTTCTTTTTGATGGCTAGTATAAGTAGGCGGTATATATTGATTCTGACTAAGCGCAAAATCATATAGCTGGTTTGCGTTAATGAGAGGTCTTTCATACCCGAGTACATACTAGTGTTAAGGTAGGTAAGTTCTAATATTTTATAATAGATTACGAAGTTACCTACCCTAAATGTCATATTATACCCGACTACATACTAGTGTTAGGGTATTCTTCTTCTAATTTTTATATAATAATTATAGAGAAGAATACCCTAAGTACTCATCTATCAAGAATACATTTATTCCTGACTCCGTTACCATCTTGCTATCCCTTCTTTTTTGCATCTATCAAAAAAAATAAATTAAACATTTCCGAATTTTATAAAGTAATATAAATATTTTCAAACTAACATTATGCATACACAAACTAATTTCATCCAAACTGATCACGAAACTCTCGTCCGCTACGATAGCGTCGAACTCAATGAATATTTAAGTGACTCAAGCAGTTGTACTAATAATGGATCTGACTTAGGGTCAGATAATTATAATAACTACAAGTCTAATTATGAGTCGGATAATGAAGAAGCTCCCTGCATCTCAGCCAGCATTACTGAGTCTCTATCAGTTCAGCTACTAGATGTAAAAGAGCAAAAGACTAATGTGAAATATACTTTAAGGTAAGAAAGTTTAATGATAATTTTTCTTTCAAGGACTTGCTAAATGTCATTTGGGGAATTCTCTCATCACCGTCTAGAGATATGTCAAACGATAAAGGGTCATTGAATTGCCTCCCAATCTATTCATTCCTCTTTCCGAATGAAAAGGGCTTTAGTTTGTATAATACCTATAATCGAGATGAAGTGGGAGATAAATTGGTTATCAAAATCGACTAAGATGATGATCAAGCCCAAAGTTTTCTATTGCAGATAACATTTCAGAAGTATATGGTTTACCCAGAATTCATGAATGCATTAACGGCCAAAAACCTTTAAGAGCTGTGATTGACATCGATGCTTCACAAAAAGATATGGAAGTAGATGGAGTTAAATCCAATAAAATATTTATCCAAATTTGTTGCTCTTTCATAAGAGCTTTATATCGAATTCTTGATTGTAGCTGAAAGGGTATTCTCAATAGATTAGTAATCGCTACATCGTCAGACCCTAGCAAGTATAGTTATCATATTTTATATGCACCAGCTCTCCTTATTGATCATCAGGAACTCAAAGAATTCACCGAATTAGTATATACCTTAACTGGGAAAAAATTTGGCAAGTATATTGATCGGAGGTTGTCTGGTTAAAATTTTAATCTTCGCCTTATCAGTTCGGCAAAAAAAGGTCGAGTAAAGCGTATTCTTCAATTTTCACTAGATAATGGGTGAAATGAGCTTGACCACGCTAGGGTTCAACCACCTACTAGCTTAGGACTTGAAGTAAGATCTCGGATGCTTAGTGAAGAAAAAAATAATAATCTGCTAAGAATAATCGTAGGCCAGGATGTATTACAAAAATTCGCAGAACTAGTTTTTTGAAAACATTCTAACTATCTTAGGGATTAGACTATCGAAGAAAAAGATTTACAAAACTTTGTATATTTCAATCGAAAAGCTTCATTAGAATGCCCACTCTGTAAACGTATATATGACAAGGATCAGTGGTGGTTCGGTCGTGTATGTGCTAGTAGTGGTGAATTCATTGTGAAATGTTTTCGGCAGAATACTGATGAGCCAGGGGAAGTTTTTGAGAGCGACCCATTTACTGCGGAAAAAATTCAGCAAGAAAATAAAATTTCTTCACAACCCTTTCACAAGGTAAAAAGCCTAGGCTTTCCTAAAACCTTCGTAAAAATGCCATCTTAGGTCAAGTATAATGAAACTCTTACAGCGACAGAAACATATGAGGAGAGATATGTAAGACTATTACCCAATGAAGGCGATATTTATGTAGGCTCGCCTTGGGAGACTGAAAAAATGTATGTTCTTGAAAATTTGGCTATTCCTGATGATGTAAATTTGCTAGTATTATCCATGCGCTACTCTTACTCGAATGCTGTTACTACAAGACTTAATCTTAAATAATATTGTGATATCAATGGTAATATAAATCTACCCAATCACAAGAGAGTGGTTTGCCAGATAGAGAGTTTACATCATATTACTAATAATTGCAAATGCAATAAAAAATGTAAATGTCCCCAATACAATATGACTTATGGCTTGATGAAATAGTTTCTATAATTGCTCAAGTACAAAGTCATTTGGCAGGGCAATCAATAGAAAAATTATATAAATTAATCCAAGAGGCTAGGCGCATTATTGTTATAGATAATGACCTTACTGATATTAATATTGAATGGATTAAAGCCTTTCGTAAGGATATACCTTTCTCCATTATTCATAATACTTACCAGCCTCAGAAAGGCAAAATATTCCGCTTAACCCCTAACAAAGAAACAGTATTA